CAGCTGTGTTACACTAAGGTGATTAGCTGTGTTAAGGTGTCAAGTGGTTACAGCTATGTTGCACAAAGGTGATTAGCTGTGTTAAGGAGCCAGGTGGTTACATCTGTGTTACATTAAAGTGATTAAGCTGTGTTAAGGTGTCAGGCGGTTACAGCTATGTTACACTAAGGTTTAAGGTATCAGGCTTACTGCCAGACCAAGTGATACACTAAGGTGATTAGCTGTGTTAAGGTGTCAGGTGGTTACAGCTGTGTTACACTGTTAAGGTGTCAGGTGGTTACAGCAATGTTACACTAAGGTGATAAGCTGTGTTAAGGTGTCAGACGGTTACAGGTGGAACAAAGTTTTCATTAGATTATTGATTAGCTGTGTTAAGGTGTCACCAGTCTGACGACCATGATATGTTAATGTTATTGAGATTAATTCTTTTTCACTAAGGTTATTGACGGTGGTGGTTACATTCATTTCTGATAACCGAGATATTTGTCCCAATTGTTTTTCTCTGTTTTCGAGTATGTGAACACCATTGTATGTAGCTGATGCAATCTGCTTCACAAAGCAATCTTATTGCTATAAATGCCATAAGTATGTACTTCAACGGCATGGAAAAAATCAATGTGGGTTATTCACCGTTTTGACGTACATGGTAAAACTGATGTAAATTTCAGGAATAGAAGTTATGACACCAGATGTTGATGAAAAGGCATGCTTTGCCCAAACGTTAGCACTCGTCACTCATACAATCTGCTTACAAACTTAGTCTGTGCTTGTTGTCTGACGCCGTACAACAGTACAACTGCGCAGCTTGAGACGCCGTACAGCAGTACAACTGCCTTGAGACGCCGTACAGCAGTACAACTGCCATGAGACGCCGTACAACAGTACAACTGCCATGTGACGCCGTACAACAGTACAACTGCCATGAGACGTCATACAACAGCACAACTGCCATGAGACGCCGTGCAACAGTACTATTGCCATGAGATGTCGTACAGCACTATCACTGCCATGAGACGCCGTGCAAAGTAGAACTGCCATGAGACGCCGTACAACAGTGCCATGAGATGCCATGAGACGCCATGAGAACAGTACAACTGCCATATGACGTCGTACAACAGTAGAACTGCCATGAGACGCCATACAACAGTACAACTGCCATGGGACGCTATACAACAGTAGAACTGCCATGAGACGCCATACAACAGTACAACTGCCATGAGACGCCGTACAACAGTACAACTGCCATGAGACGCCGTACAACAGTACAACTGCCATGAAACGTCGTACAACAGTAAAACTGCCATGTGACGCCAAACAACAGTACAACTGCCATGAAACGCCGTACAACAGTACAACTGCCATGAGACGCCGTGCAGGAGTACAACTGCCATGTGACGCCAAACAACAGTACAACTGCCATGAAACGTCGTACAACAGTGCAACTGCCATGAAACGTCGTACAGCAGTGCAACTGCCATGAGATGTCGTACAGCAGTACAACTGCCATGAGACGCCGTACAACAGTGCAACTGTCATGAAACGTTGTACAGCAGTACAACTGCCTTGAGACGCCGTACAACAGTTCAACTGCCATGAAGTGACAGCCTGAACACAAACAAGGTACCTCAACCTTAGATCACTTTATAGAATGTGGTCAAGGACTTTGTTATGACTACTGAATTTAGCTCAGTTGGTGACCTTTAGTGACTTTGTTTTGTAGTTCAGTTGTCATGATATCGGCTATGATTAACTGTGCAGAGTTATGTCCCTCAGCCAAGCTAGGATCCGCTGGTTGTTGGTTCACATCCATGATTCTCCAGATTATGGGCTTTGAGCTGTCCTGACACCTGTGCTTTACATCAAACGACCGGCTCATTATCGATCATTACCTCTGTACACTGTGTTGGCAATGCTAGTACAGTGTAAATAGGTGAGGTAAGTGACGGTTACGTCCTCAATTTGTTATTTACCTCAACAAAATAATGCATACAAATTCTGTTACAGCATAACACAAAAACAAAACGGATACACACTCTCTTATACCAACTTAAACACACTTGTTATGAAAATAAGGGGGTCGAAGGTGAGGAAAATGAGTCATTTCTCGACTGTGTTGACAAACGGGTGGGGTCGCAATGAGGCTTGGGAATGGCAGGACTAAAGTACTGATACCTAGTCAAAATCGTCTCATTACATCATTTCTAATTCGTCTACACCAGCAGAATAAAATGTACTACTGTTCTCAATAGGGAATATTGCGCAATAACAGGATCGCGAACTTTACCATTAAACACCAACTTTGGGTGGATACAAGGCGTGAAATGAAGGGTGAAGGGTGTGACCCTAACAGCCTACCGTAGGAAGAGGCGTTTGGGCTGGGCTCGGTAACACCAAGGACGGGCTGCACACCACTGGCGTGAAAACCATGTTACAGACGGATACAGGTTTTACCTTAGATTCCCAGATGGCAGAACAAATTGTTGGCGAAGTAGCGGAGAGCATATCGTAATTCTTGGTATATGATTGGTATGGCGTCAGTAGAGTAATGGTGTGGGGCGGCATCACACATGCCAACGATCTAATTTAGTTATTGTTCATGAACATTTGAGTGTCCAGAGGTATGTTGACGAACTTTTGAATCCTGTCTTTGATCCATTCATAGAATTATCGGCAGAAATATTCACCTCCAAGGTGACAATGGCACACCACATCGTGCCCAGGTCATACCATGGCTCTACCCCGATGTCATGTCCCAAACATTCAGTCTTGAATGTTGACGGACAGAGAGTAGACCAGTGCCTCAGAACCCGCGAGCACGGCATCGCTTGAAGTAACTCTTCGGGCGGATTGGCAGGCAAATACCAATACAGATGAAGTTTTAGTTTCAGGTTGGATTAATATACTCTGACCTTTGCCATCATTGATTCCGAACGTTGGTACTAATATTGTAGCACCTACTTTGTTAATTAGAATACCACATAGGGATATATATGAAATATAAACTTCACAATCCATATTTGTAAATACAAATATGAGTTGTTATTTAGTAGACGGTTTTCGGGTGTCATAACATTAATCCCCAAGTTTCGAATCAAGAAAAAACTCACCACATCACATTTGAGTCAGTCCAAACATCGTGCATCCCACAATAGTGTTAAAACGTGTTTTTCACTTGCCACTGGTCACGTGATCTTATCATTGCACGTGCATTCGATCGTACATGTTCCCATCATAAGTACAAAGTGAAAAAAACATTTTAAAACACTTTTCAGAACAGCCAATTCTTATGCCGCGTCTCTCAGCGTGCAGCGTGAACGTGCCATTGGCATGCTAGAAGCGGGGACGTCAATAGGTGACGTTGCAAGGACAACAGGGTTCCGCCGTCGGACTGTTTATGATTTACAGACTCGACTGCAACAAACTGGCACCACCCTAGACCACGTATGACGTCACAAGCGGAGGACCGTCAAATTGTGTTACGTCACCTCCGTAACCGTTTTTTGGCGCCTACAGGAACCAGACATGAGCTGTTTAGGGGACGATTGTCGACACAAACCATCCGAAAACGGCTGCTAGCTGCTCACCTTCGTGATCGACGACCAAAAAGCGGAACCATTTTGACGCCATTGCATCGACGTCAGTGTTTGCTGTGTGTCCGACGACACCTCCGATGGATTCAGATAGATTGGAATCGATAGATTTGTCGATGGCGATGGCAGGATGACAGTGTGGAGGCAACACCGCGATCAGTGATGCGCACAGGAAGTTGACAGGTTTGGGGGCGTAGGTGTCATGGTTTGGGGTGGTTCCTGTGGGACTGCCCGTTACCGACTTCTGGTTATCCGTAGGAACCTTAATGCTGCAGGTTACCGCGACCAGGTCTAGCCCCCGAAGTTATTCCAGTTATGGCAGAACATGGTCCAGGTCTGCACTTTCAACATGACAATGCCAGACCCCATACAGCTATCTTGACCAGGAATTACCTGCAGAACCCAGGAATCAACGTTACTGACTGGCCGTCAAGGTCACCTGGTCTCATTCCAATCGAGCACATCTGGGATGCTCTTGGTAGAGGTCAGCGCACTCTCAGGAACCAACCCCAGAATTTGCAGGATCTCGGTGCTGCTTGGCACCTACAATGGCGCCGACTCCCCAATAATGTGTTTACACGCATCAGACAGTCCACGAGGAGGCGTTGCTTGGCAGTTGTGAACGCACGGTGTGGCCATACATGCTACTGAAACATTAGATTTAATTCCTTGTGACTTGACACTTTGTTTACACCTTTATTGCTAAATTCTGTAACCACATGGAACCGATTTTGGCATTGTCATAATTCTCAGTTTATCTTATCGACCTGAACAATTAACTGATAACCTATACCACATTATTGTGTTCTTTCTTTTATATATTATTAGATCTATGATTGTGAAGTTTCTTTGTGATAGGGAAATCAAAAATATATAATGACAGTTTATCCTGTTCTGTGCCAAGATATCGCCGTAAAACAGACACAACCAATAGTTTCTGTCAATTATGAAAACCTTTCAAAAGTCTAATTTGCAGTTCTGCCACGGATGGTTTCGGGAAATTGCTGAGTGAAATTCTGTATACACAGACCATGACGTCATGATCACCGGCACGTGTTTTGGAAGTTGCGTCGGGATGTTATTAATAATTCCTCCTTGAGATTGTTATGAAATATATAGCATGTGACTGTTTCTACGCCACATGCAAATAACAACTTCAAATGTAATTCAAAGTACATGCTAGCTGATGCGCAGTTGAATGAACAAGCCTCTTTGTTCCTGATGATAACAGTTAAATGTACTGAAGGTCCTGTTGTGTCCTGTTAGGTGACGTGGAGTACTAGCCACGGTGAACTGGTTGAACTGGTCTATCCTAACACGAAGTGGTCCTTCACAGCAACAACGGAATCCCGGGTCGTGAGAAAACTGGGTATATAAGGGTGGACGCCTCCCCTAGTTGTACATTAAGTCATGGAGCTACAGACTATTCTGACAGGGTTGCTGGTCCTGACGCTTGCCCCCGGGTGTGGGGCCGTCGAGAGGGTGTTCTTTATAGCGGCTGTAGAGAGGGAATGGAACTATGCACCTACGGGGAAAAACATCATCAACCCACAGGATCAGGGGTAAGAGTAAGCGATTAATTAGGTTTGTGATGTACACAGGATGTGTGTATGTGTGTGTTGTTGCTGCTGTAGTCGTTGTCGTGTGTTCAGTGCACAGAGTGATTAAACAAAGTGATGTCCTTGGACGGGTGATAGAGTTCAGCAGCTTGGCTGCATGGAGTTTCTTGGGTTTTAGGTCCAAACGGTAGCACACGTAGCACGCGTGCTGTGTCCTTGAGCAACTGATCTTAAAAGAAACATGCCTCTGTTCACTTTGCAGCACATGGATGCCCGGTGGGTGGAAAAAGTGAAGTATTGATAAAAATAATCCAGCGATTTGTGCATGATTTAATATGAAGTTTACGCCTTAAATCGGACTGTTACATACAGACCTTCTGGGAATGGTTCCAAACCTCGCTTCAGAGACATTCGACAATGCCATTCATCTGACAATGTTCATCGATACTTGCCCCGTGATGCCCAAGCTATTTACCTTTACATTCGCCCCTCAGATCACGTCAAACCTGCCCTGGACGTACCTGCAGGATAACGGCTGTGTGACACAGGGCTATAATATTGTGTTTATAGGGATAACATAGGTTAAAATGGATTACTGCATATCTTGCGTGACAAAAACAACAATAAAAATAAAAAAATAAATCTGTTCTAATTCATACGGAACTGGACGATGTGAAAGTAGACGACGTAGCAAAATGAAAAACCAATTTAAACAAAACAATTCATTTGGCTGCGAATGACACTATTACGAATTTTACACAAACAGAACTTGCTCGTGTATTTACCACATTATATTTCAAAATGTTCTTACTGTAGAGGTTTCTTTGTCGGTCGTAAAATGGTAACATGTACAACCAACAAGATGAAAGAACTCAATGCGTCACATTCGTTCTTCTGGTGTCCCTCTAAAACATACAAAATTAATCTCACGGCAATTTCTATCATTTATTGCTGAAGTGGGTGATACGCGAAGCAGGCGCATATGTGAATACCTTTCTGAATACTTCAGCACTTACTGGCTTGCTGGACATGACACACTGAATCAGATGTCCGTCTTGGTGATGGCAGCTACAGATAACTATCTACACATATGTCACCACGAACATCTGGTGTCATCACTGATGTTCACTGGTCAATTTTCACAGCTATTTTGACCTTTAACCAAATGTAATCTATGTTCAGGATAATCGAATCTGGCTATTTTTTTTACACTAACGTCATTATATTATCATGTGTGTCGTAGACATGTATTTGTGATTTTAATTTACATCGGAAGTAATAATACTATCAAGTCAGATGCGTCTCATATCACGCCATTTACAAGACACAAATATACTGATTGACTGTGTAGAAGAGTGTTTGCATGCATTCAAGCCAATGCAGGTCACACACGCTTCTAGGGTGACACATTACACCACCTGTGGTCATGTCGTACCATTTGGACATGTGTTGAAAAACTGTTTAATGTACCCAACATAGACATCACCAGCCATATTTAATTCATTCTTCATTGTATTGTTATGACTTTTTAGCACATATTGATGTTTACAATACCGTTTATGTTGATCATTTATGTTTTGTTGTCTTTTCGTTGTCGAGCTTCAAATCGGTTGACGACCCGTGAAGATCCGGGGTAGGATAGGTCTTCAGCAATCCATGTGCTTGCCATAAAAAGCGACTTTGTTTGTCGTAAAAGGCGACTAACGGGATCGGGTGGTCAGGCTCGCTGACTTGGTTGACACATGTCATCGGTTCCCAATTGCGCAGATCGATGCTCATGCTGTTGATCACTGGATTGTCTGGTCCAGACTCGATTATTTACAGACCGCCGCCATATAGCTGGGATATTGCTGAGTGCGGTGTAAAACTAAACTCACTCACTCACTCACTCAAATCGGTTGACAAGTTTCTTTTGGACGTCAGTTTATGTTGCTATGCATTTGGCAAAATGCCATGACTTAAGAAGATATTAAGTTATTAACGAAAACATCTGTATATGGGGGCCAGGCATTACGTATGTACATTGTATGTTGAACGGTAACGAAGCAAATGACGTATAATGGAGAGAAACGACACACATTATGACTAAGGACGAGAAGTTCCTTGTTTGGACTTACCGCTCTTCCACTTCCGTTCTCAGTCTCCTGGCCACTAATATTATAGACTTCATAATTAATGTAATTCCATAATTATCACGGAATTGGAATAGGAAGGCCAAAAATTGAAGTTAAGAGCATCTACAGAAGTGGCATAGCTTATTTTAAGAGGTTAATGACCAAAGGTGTCCTGGCAACTGTCACAAATAGGTCATTACTAGCAGGATACCGTCCAGCTGATCGGACATAAGTGATTCTCGGAAGTGCGCTCTTGTTTAGCTGGGAAACCCAATTATGGAACTGAAGTCATGAGCGACTACAGAAGTGCAATACTTTATTCAGTGAAAGAAAGGTTACTGACCATCAAGTGATGATGAAGGTAGATGTGAAGTGCCCGTGAAAACCCGGGTTACCATGGACCCTTAGCAACCCATGATTTTCTTTAGAGGCATCTAACGGGATCGGGTGGTCAGGCTCGCTGACTTGTTGATGCATGTCATCGTATCCCAAGACTGACGAACGAGGATATAGTGTAATTTTAGGTAAATGCACGGTCGTTAATCCAGCTGTTGGCTTCGTATGAAGAACACACACAGACTTTAAGATACAGTATGATTCCACTAATGTTTGTCTAAGGTAAGCGTCAGGCTTATCTGCAACTCCTTTCATCAAAAGGACTTCCATCACATTGGTAAGTGCATGTTAAACAACAAAAGAAACACATAATATAATGGAGAGGCTTGTAGCGACACTAAAATGTCCGCGATCATGTTGTCATTGTTCAAATATTCCAGCTAACATTTTGGTTGCATGTATGGCCCAGTAGCCACTCTCGTAACACTTCGAGGGAGAGGAAGGGAAGTTTGAGTACACACAACACATTGTGTGACGCGCAGTTCATTTAGATTGCATTGAACAATATAACAAACTCTAACACCCATTTCTTTGTATATAAAAAGAAAGAAACAAACAAACAAACAAAACATTATAGATATGAGTAACTTTTATTTTCCCACATAGAGCTGCGGACAAGTATCTGGTGAATGGCAGGAACCGTATTGGCAGCGTGTACACCAAGACTATATATAGATCGTACACAGACGCCACCTACCGGACTGAGATCCCAAGTCCTTCCTGGCTCGGTCTGTATGGACCAATCATCAGAGGAGAAATCGGTGACACCATCACTGTCCACTTCCGGAACAATGGATCGCGGGAGTTTTCTATGCATCCACACGGGCTCTTTTATAAGAAAGACAGTGAAAGTAAGATGTGTTTTTAAAAAAAAAGAGAGAATAATATGATATTGTGTTACTCAGTTGGTAACCTTCTTTGATCATGTGACAATTTCAAACGTGACAGTCTCATCCAAAGGCGTTCTGATCTGCAACTAACGTGATACTTTATGTGTTCATAAATGTTAACGCAACATTTGATTTACATCAGGTGCGATCTACATGGATGGCACATCCGGGCATTTTAAGTACGATGACATAGTTATGCCCGGATCTGACGTCACGCTGACGTGGCAAGTACACCCTGACGATGCCCCTGGTCAAGACGACCCTGCCTGTATACCCTATGTGTACCACTCACATGTTGATACACCGCCCGATACCAACACAGGTCTGATCGGTGTCATCTCCGTCTGTAAGCCAGGTAATGCAATAACAGCTGATGCAATCGTGATGCTCGGTCTACCTGTCAAAATAGTGAACAAAATGTATCAAGTCAGCCTGTTGCTCAAATAGTTTCCAATGTTTTTGTGTCAACCTGTAAATCAGATCAGGTACGTGTACTGTGTAGCCGTAAACCAATTAATGACAAATATGTGCCGTGTGTACCTGGAACCCGGTATAGAACAATACGTGTCGTGGAAACATGTGAACCAGGTATATATTGCGGAACATGTGATATATGTCCCAAACCATAGTCGGTGGCATAGGTTAACACAGGCATTCACCACGAACACGGGTTAGACAGACCCCTAAACATTATCAGGACGGACCGATAGAAGGAGGCATGGTCTCCTTTCCAAGAAACAAGTATATTCACATATATATTGAAAAGACGCTGCAGTGAAAATGGTGGCTCCTGGTTAAATCTACAGTCGGTTTGTTTCTTGATTTTGCAAAACAGAAACTGGGCGAGCTGGAAAATAGTTCAGGGTCTTTCAGAAATTCGAAGCCACGATGAAAGAGTTCAGGAGTGCCTATATAAAGCAAAATTGCGGCGCTTTAGACGATTGGGCCTCCCGTGTTACATAAAATTAAATAAAATGGCAAACCTATTATGTTTCCGAACAAACAGTCCGTATACCAAGTAATTGAATAAGGTCAACATTGTTACTTGTACCATAGGTAATCATATGTTTGATGTTATGTACATACATCTTGTGAATGTTGCATATTTTAGGAACGTTGGATGCCAAAGGTCAAAGAAAGGACGTGGATGAAGAGTATTTCATTGTTGCAAAAGTATTTGACGAAAATGCAAACTGGATTACATCCCGAAATTTACAGAAGTGTGGAGATCCAACTGAGTGTCAGAGGTTGCTGGACAACGAGGACGAGGACTTCATGGAGAGCAACCTCATGTACACATTCAATGGCTACGTGTTTGCGCAACTTCCGGATCTCCTCGCCTGTTCAGGGGACAAGGTCGCGTGGCACGTGATTGGCATGGGCAATGAAATTGACATCCACTCGATCGAGTTCCATGGTCAGATAGTACAGACAGAACAGACAAGGTAGGGGTGAATAGCCTGCACAGTTTGTCTGTAGCCTTTGTTAAATCACTATTGGCTGGATTTGCTTTCCTAAATGGTAAGATCAGTGGTCGTAATAAAAAGGTAAACATAAGACATTGGGGTGAATTTACTGTGAAAATGTCCTTCCAAAACTTCGTTTAAGCATTTACCCAAGGAATAATTCCTCATTTTGAACAATACCGGACACTGCCATTTCCCTATGTAGATTTTCCCTCAGTATTGTACACGAAATGAAATTAAGCTGCAGTCTACAAATAATTTATAGTTTAAAGAATAATTTACAGTTTGATAAACTTTAATGATATGAAAAAATGTAACCGAGAAGAAACTTTCATAGATAAGAGGGATTCTTCTTTGGCAACAAATGCATAAGCTGTGTCAGTGACATCATTCCTTCAAAGTATGACTAGCAGAGGTTCTTCAGGCGCACTTAGTGTAAAAATCACAAATCCTAAATCAAATTCTCACAACCGGTATTTGTAGAGACCACAAATCATATCTACAGTCAGAAAAATAGACTGGCAATATTCATTTGCAATATCCTGGTATAAATGGTGGAAAACGTTATAAGAATTCCGTGTGAAAAGGTATCCAGAATCCCCAAACAACCTTCCTCGTTTTAATTCATACATGTAGGAAAAATATCTTTTTGGAGTAGGACTTGTCCGGTGGGGGAAATGTCCGTGTGGGAAGTGTCTGGATCCCCATATTTTCCTTGGCTGTCGTTTCAGTGACGACAATATCCAGGTGTTCCCGGCTGTGTTCAAGACGGGTATGATGACGGTCGGATCCCCGGGACATTGGATAATAGGCTGTATGGTCACAGATCACTACGCCGGTCAGTCGACATACAGCAGATCACTACGAAGATAAATGGAACAAAATGTCACTGTCAATCTTAACGTTACCTGGGCACACTTGCACAAAGCAATCTTAGCGGTACGACTATTTTACGCCTATGTTAGAGAATGGAAGTTACAATCATCGTAGCGCTAAGATCGCTTTGTGCAAGTGGGCCCTGCACATTATCTCAGGTGAATGTGGTTGTCTACATTTGAAAACAAACGATGAGGTGTTTTATTGAAGTATTAGTAGGATGCATTCTCATCGGAATATACTTGTAATTGTAGGTGGTATGAATGCATACTTCATCGTAGAAGATTGCGGGGCTCAGACATCGCAGAAGCTACCCGGAAACACACGAAACTACTATCTCGCCATAGAAGAAGAAGAGTGGAATTATGGACCTTCCGGCATGGATAAATATAATGGCGGCATGCTGAGTGAACCCGGCAGGTACAGACATTACAGAATACCTAACATATTAGTTTATGCAAAATTTCTTTAATCATATAACATGTTTTCTTTGTGTCATGAAAGTAATTCCTTTGAATAATACATGTCAAGAATCTATAGTACATTTTCTCGTTCTGTGGCTGAAACAATGCAGATGCGACGTCAAATTATAACTCACTCACTCACAAATTTCATTAGGCCCAAGAATGTTTTAACGTGATTCAATTGCGACATATTAAAATAACAAACATTTTTTAAGACGTCCCTTTTGCATAATCTGCAGCAAGGCGGAACCCTATTTCGCTCAAACTACTGCTCGCATCGGAGGTAGATACAGGAAGGCAAGATTCCAGGAGTATGGCGACATTGTCTTTTTAACCCGGAAGTCATCTCATGATACATCGCTTGGAATTCTGGGACCGGTGTTACGAGCGGAATCTGGGGATGACGTCAGGATTGTCATTAAGAACAAAGGCAGCAGACCGTTCTCGTTTACTGGCCATGGGTTGACATACACACAAGGCGCAGGTGAAATGACAGGTATGAAAGTGATCAGGTTATTTATGGCGTTTATGGCGTTTGAAGGGTGGATTCAATATGACTGAATGAATTCCATATTGTGCAGTGGAAGATCATGTGACATTATTATCTGGACAAGATATTGAAACCTCTGTTGTATGTGCGTCGATGTTTTGCCGTGCACGAATTGCCAGTGTTGAACGCCCACAGGGCAACCTCCATAGATTGACCTTGGCAACAAAGAACCCAGACAATTCCCCAATTTGAAGTAATCTCATGATAGTGTGACGCCAACCACGTTGGCTGAACTTGGTCAGGCGCTGCAAGAGGAGTAGGACAGACTCCCCAATTCGCTATTGGGAGGCTCATACGCAATGTGCATCTTCGAGTGAATGAATGTTTTCACAAATCGTGGCAGTGGTGCAGGCTGATGACCTGGGAATTTCACACTTTAGCCCTATCATATTTCAGGATCAGGCTAGCTATTCTTGAAACGTTCGTAGCCCTGCGAACTTCTTAAGCCCATTCTTAACACATTGACTACGATCGAGTTAAGAATTCTTAGTGCTAAGAACGTTTCGAGGATACGCACCCAGGTGTTCATGACATCTGTCATCATACTTCACAACCGGGTGTAATGTGCTCACACATCATACATAAACTAACTTAAGAATACCTTACAGTATATTATGATGTATGCTAGGAATATCACGATTGTTATGAGGCGTCTTTAGCCTTGGGTCTTTTGTTCTGAGTAGAAACTGTAGTAGTGTCACCATCCCATACCGAATAGGTAGTGTGACGGCATGTTCTAAGCTATACTCCTTGCAGCAGGTGAAGTGAAAGACTGACTGAGTGAGTGAACCAAACCATTACAGATTGAACTAAATGTGAATAGTGTGGAGTGTGAATATCGCTCCAAGTCCGAATCCATAGACATCCCGCTATTGCGTGGGGACCAGTACTATAGATATGGGCACTGATGCAAGCTGGGGGTACGATGACTCGCACAGAGATGAATACCGAATTCCCGTTGAAGTTAGCCTTTACGAGTATGGGACCAGTTTACACTCGATATCCCCGTAGATAGGATGATAGAAGGGGTTTTGCTGAAGGCCTTATGCCGACCATCATCATCCACTTGTTTCTGTTGTACCGTTGTGAATCAGTCACATATTTCATCTGTATGGAACTGTCTTTTCATAGGCCATTCTGCCCTGTCAACCCTGGCTCCATTCATGTGTACAATCAGCACGTACCTGATGACGTTGTTGGCCCAAATGACCCGGACTGCATCGTGAAGATATACTACTCATCGACAATCAGTGACGTCAATTCCGGCCTGATAGGACCTCTAGTTCTGTGTCGGAGGGGCGCTTTGGATAAAGCCACTGGGAGACAGGTAGATATGTTTTCAGCGAGATAGGAGCCCACCTGAAAACAATAACAAAAAAACAACAACAACAAACCCACCCCCACCCCCAACAACAACAACAACAACACGTTATGCTAGTCTCGGACATTTACCTCTCTCGTGAGGCACATGGACTCGGACTTTTGACGTAATTGGGGAGAGATGGGAATCTAACCCAAGATTTCAGGGTTCTTCTATTCCTGAAGAACTCAACCCTGCTAATCGAATTTCGGCGCTTTGAACGGTTGGGTTTAACAAACCATTTCACCGAAGTAAAACCATATTCTGTTTCTTGTGAGTGGTTTAAAAACGGGCTCTATCACGTTTCAACTTAAGTCAGCTTTTCTAAAATCAAAGTGAACTCACCTCACTTTATTACAGCTTTAAATCATGCAATGATATATGAAGCGTATCATAGGAACTGATTTATAGTGAGGAGGGCACTGGCAGTACATAGTCTATGTAATCAGACGCAGAATCTATAAGACAATAACGTTTCAAATTGTTTCAGAATGATAGCATTTACTTGTCTTAACAATTAACAATTCTCATATAATATCAATTTTCAACATGACATTTAACTCTTACTGTATACTTAATATAAGTACATCCAATCCATCTTCATTTGTCATGTAGTAATCGTTTACAGATGGCGTAACTGACCTATTGAGTAGTCTACAAGCCTACATTCTCACACGAAGCATACCATAAATACAGATATACATGTATATTGAGGTTGGGCCTGCAGGGGGAAGTGTCCACATTGTCGTCTTCTGGTATTATCAACACCAACGGTTGGTAATACTATGTTTATAATAGCCGTGAACCGTGATAGCATTGTAATGTTGATAATCAAAGGACAGTTTACCTTGATAACACTAGGGCATGCTATAATTAATTGTTTGTTGTTTAACGCCGCACTCAGCAATATTCCATCTATATTGCGGCTGTCTGTGAATAATCGAGTCTGGACCTGACAAGCCAGTGATCAACAGCATGAGCATCGATCTACACAATTGGGGGTACGATGACATATGTTAACCAATTCAGCGAGCCTGACACCCCATGCTAATAGTCTGAGCTGAAATTAATTGGACACTTTCTTCATTTGTAGCGGTACACGGACAAGGAGTTTTTCCTGCTCTTTAGTGCATTTGATGAAAACAAGTCTTGGTTCTTAGATGCCAACATCAAGAATTACTTAACTTCCGCTGTCAACAAGGACGACGCCGACTTCATTGAGAGCAACGTTATGCACGGTAAATTCCGGATTCATACAAAACTAATGACCCTTTTAGTGTCCGTCTCCTCTACAAGTATAGGTTTAATAGAAACATAAGCAACTGTTTAAACTGTGCATTCTGTAGACGGATAACGCTTCCAGTGTTGCTGTACAACATCTCCACCCTATTTTAGGTAATTCGTGGCAGGCCTTCCGCAATTACATTTGCCCCAGCAAACCAGTGGTTGAAAGCATGAGCATAAGATTACATATGTAACGTGTTTATTTACTTTAGGTATTAGTCAGTGAGTTTTACGCCGCTTTTAGCAATATTCCAGCAATGCGGAGAAAACCAGAAGTGATTTTCATACAGTGTACCCATCTTTGGAATCGAACCAGGACCTTCAAGAGCGCAAGTTGAAACCATGAGCCCACATCGGATCAATATATTTCGAATGTTGGAAATGTGCTGTTTTGGCATATATTTGTTTTCTTCACGACAGGAATCAATGGATTGAGTTTCGGGAACTTAAATGGCTTGGATATGTGTGTTGGTGACAATGTCACGTGGCATATACTTTCTTACGGATCTGAGGTTAACGTGCAGGCACCATATTTCCATGGCAACACATTCAGTATTGGGAACAGACATCGAGACGTGGGCACTTTGATAGCTGCAGAGACACACTCGCTCTACATGAAGCCAGATAATCCAGGTGAGAGACAGACCTACTCTACGTGACAGCGGATAATCCAGGTGAGAGACAGACTTGCTCTACATGAAGCCAGATAATCCAGGTGAGAGACAGACCTACTCTACGTGACAGCGGATAATCCAGGTGAGAGACAGACCTACTCTAGATGACGCCTGATAATCCAGGTGAGAGACAGACCTACTCTACGTGACACCGGATAATCCAGGTGAGAGACAGACCTACTCTACGTGACGCCTGATAATCCAGGTGAGAGACAGACCTACTCTACGTGACACCGGATAATCCAGGTGAGAGACAGACCTACTCTACGTGACACCGGATAATCCAGGTGAGAGACAGACTTGCTCTACATGAAGCCAGATAATCCAGGTGAGAGACAGACCTACTCTACGTGACACCGGATAATACAGGTGAGAGACAGACTTGCTCCACATGAAGCAAGATAATCCAGGCGAGAGACATACTTGATCTACATGACACCAAATAACCCCGGTGAGAGACAGACCTACTCTACGTGACACCGGATAATACAGGTGAGAGACAGACTTACTCTACGTGACACCGGATAATACAGGTGAGAGACAGACCTACTCTACGTGACACCGGATAATACAGGTGAGAGACAGACCTACTCTACGTGACACCGGATAATCCAGGTGAGAGACAGACCTACTCTACGTGACACCGGATAATACAGGTGAGAGACAGACTTGCTCTACATGAAGCAAGATAATCCAGGTGAGAGACAGACCTACTCTACGTGACACCGGATAATCCAGGTGAGAGACAGACTTGCTCTACATGAAGCAAGATAATCCAGGTGAGAGACAGACCTACTCTACGTGACACCGGATAATCCAGGTGAGAGACAGACCTACTCTACGTGACACCGGATAATACAGGTGAGAGACAGACTTGCTCTACATGAAGCCAGATAATCCAGGTGAGAGACAGACCTACTCTACGTGACACCGGATAATCCAGGTGAGAGACAGACCTACTCTACGTGACACCGGATAATACAGGTGAGAGACAGACTTGCTCTACATGAAGCAAGATAATCCAGGCGAGAGACATACTTGATCTACATGACACCAATAAATCCCGGTGAGAGACAGACCTACTCTACGTGACACCGGATAATACAGGTGAGAGACAGACTTATTCTAGATGACGCCTGATAATCCAGGTGAGAGACAGACTTGCCCTACATGAAGCCAGATAATCCAGGCAAGATACAGACTTACTCTAGATGACGCCTGATAATCCAGGTGAGAGACAGACTTACTCTAGACGCCTGATAAATCTAGATGACGCCTCTACATGATAATCCAGGACGCCAGATATCCAGGCGAGAGACAGACTCGCTCTACGTGACGCCCGATAATCCAAGTGAGAGACAGACTTGCTCTACGTGACGCCTGATAATCCAAGTGAGCGACAGACTTACTCTATGTGACGCCCGATAATCGAGGTGAGAGACAGACTTGCTCTACGTGACGCCTGATAATCAAGGAGACGAAAATTCACTCAATCTGCCTGACGCCTGATAACCTATGCTAGGTGAGCGAAGGCCCAAGTGATGACGACTGCAGACGCTTCAGGTGAGAGGACTGTGGATGGCGAGATACTCTATAACACCTATTATAATTGACCTTGACTGGGCTAAAGGGGAAAGGCTTCAAGAAAACATAGTATTGATGTGAAAAGTGATTAGATGTCAGTTAGACATATTGAAAAGATAGTTCAAGATAATACAAGTTTGCATGTAATCCTTACGTTTTGCTTGTACAAAAGATGCTGTTAATATAAATGACAAACATATTCCCTTTAATTGATTATAACAATTCCGATTTTGATACAAGTAGTACTGTTTAATTTTAAGCACACACAACCATCAAAAGGTGTACATTCCACAACGAAAATCAAACGTTGCTACTTTTTTTTATTATTATGATTATTGTAATGCATTTTAACATTTGTGTATGAAGATAAAAGAGGGTTTAATAAAAATCCGAAAGTACAACGCCCCATATATTTCCTGGAACACATTCATTCCAGGCATTTGGGCTGTGAGGTCTGCAACCAACGTCATGACGGATACCGGCGTGACAGCTTTCTACCAGGTAAACCCCTGCGGTACAACCCAAACTGGAGCCGACGGCGCAGCCAGCGGCGTCACGAGACGCTACAACATTGCCGTCGAGGAAGCGGACTGGGACTACGCGCCACGCGAAACAAGCCTCATCAACGGTGTTGATCTAAATGATCCAAGAGCGTAAGTCCTTCCTGTGTGGGCAAATTCTAATGCGTAGTAGCAATTACAAGTAACGAGAGGGGCGGTGGGGTAGCCTAGTGGTTAAAGCGTTCGTTCGTCACGCCGAAGACCTGGGTTCGATTCCCCTCATGGGTATAATTTGTGAAGCCCTTTTCTGGTGTCCCCCGCAGTGATGTTGCTGGAATATTGCTAAAAGCGGCGTAAATCTATATCCACTCATTCAATTGTAACTAGAAATAAAGGTGGGGCACGGCTGTCCCTAAACCTCCGCAGTTGTTGTTGTGTCTGGCCGTCAGAAACCTATGATCATAATTCCAATCCCATTTCGCCCTATATTGGTTATGTTTCTAGATTCGTCAGCACCATATCCGTACTCGTGGGTGTCGAGCTCAATTAAATGGTCATTATGAATACAAGCTGACACCTCATTCAAAACGGCGTTAACCGAACTCTCTCATTCTCTAGAATTGTAATTAGTTCTGTAAGGAAAATATCTTCTTCAGTCCTTTAAAGGGTTAAATGAAGCTGACATAGTCGTTTCTATATATTGCTTATTAAGCTTATTTTCAATACACATATTTATGTTACTAGGTATATATACAAAAAGTTAGGATTACATGATATTATCGTTTACCAGACTAAATGAATATAGTTGTTGTTTTTATTTTCTTCCACTATAGAGCATTCATTTTTGTGAGAGATGACGATAACTTCATCGGTGATACGTACAAGAAGGCTTTGTACAGGGAATATACTGATAATACGTTTACCAACCGGAAGCCACGAAGCCAGGAGGACATCCATCTAGGAATTATGGGACCTATGATTAAAGCGGAAGTTGGTGATAAAATTGAAGTAACTTTAAAGAACCTTGCCAGCAGAGAGTACTCAATTCACCCACATGGGGTATTCTATAATAAGTCCAACGAAGGCACAGCCTACAACAACGGCCATGATGGAGGCGCCCTGCCGGGTAAGACGCGCGTATTCACGTGGTACGTACCAGCGCGCTCTGGACCCGGAAGTAAGGACCCTAATTGTATTCCCTGGCTGTACACATCCGGTATCGAGTCAACAAGAGACACATATGCAGGACTTATTGGTCCAATTGTGATCTGCAGGAAGGGCACACTTGACTCAAACAACAAACGCACGGACGTAAATAAGGAATTCGCCCTTTTGTTTAGTATATTCAATGAGAACAAAAGTTGGTATTTATCAGATAACATAGCGAAACATGCGCCTGGAAGGGTGGGCAGTGACTATGGTGATGATGGAGACTTTGAGGAAAGCAACCTCTTCCATTCCATTAACGGTCTCTTGACTGGCAACAACGTTGGTCTGACCGTACATCTGAACGACACCATCGCTTGGTACCTGTTGTCTTCAGGGTCGGAGTTAGATATGCACACCATTCATTTCCATGGGCAGACCTTCTCACACGTCAGCAACAACAATCATCGTACTGACGTCATCGAACTGTATCCCGGAGAGGCAGAGGAGGTGGAGATGCGCGCGCATGATGTAGGGACATGGATCCTTCATTGTCACGTATTGGATCACATCAGTGCTGGCATGGAGACAACGTACACGGTTTTGCCGTAGAGAACTGTGACATATGGAACACTGATGCCAGACACATTCTGATGCATAGTAGCAACGTACGTGGGGCGCGGGTGTCCCTTCGTCTAAACCTCCGCAGTATCTATCAGATAACGTAGCGAATCTAGCGGAGGCTGGGTATAGGCGGAAAGTTTACTGTTGGTGGTAATTATCTGTTTACATAGAAACCCATATTTATGTTTTTCAAGAATAAAGGCTTGTTAATCAATGTTTATATTCTATATTAATAGAGTCGATATTATATTTGACATGAAGTACGTTATATAATGTTTGTACGTGTACATAATGTGTTACCTGGTTGTAAGAACAAGACATGTCAACATTTGACCTGTCTAATACAGCGTGTTACGAAAAGGGGAAAATGTGTCCTGTTAAAACACCAGGCTTCGTTCCATGACACATGCACCAACAGATGGGTTAAATATTCAGATTTAAGCTACACACACGCACGCACCTACGCGCGCGCACGCACTCACGCAGGCACGCGCACACACATACACACACCCAACACCACATGCGTTGTTAGATGTTTAGTCATGTTTTTAATGAAGCCCCTAACTTCATAAAATGTGTTACAAATTTGATACAATGATGAAACGGAGCCCTGAAGGGTTCAGCAGCTCAGCAACCCAACTCAGAAGAGTGGGGTTTAACCATATCTGGCTTCATTGGGCTACTAGGCTGTTGAGATATCGTGTTTATCATGTTAAGGATATAAACGATAGAAGTCAAAAACAGGAAGTAGGTGAAAACAGAGAATGGAATTAGTAGTGTTCACATTGCGTTAAACATTCCAGGGTTGATTAAATATTAGGGGTAAATTGTTTTAGCATTCGTTAAATCTTTCTCTGTTCGCAATGACGACACGATACTGTACATGTGTTGCCGTCGTATTGTGACTTGTCTAATCGCTATATTGTATCTACTCTAGTCGCCGTATTGTGTCTAGTCCAGTCGCCGAATTGTGTCTAGTCTAGTCGCCGTATTGTGTTCAGTCTTGTCGCTGTACTGTGTCAAAGTCGCCATAAAATCACTCTAATCTAGTCGCCATATTGTGTTCAGTCTAGTCGCTGTATTGTGTCTAGTCCAGTCGCCGTATTGTGTCTAGTCTAGTCGCATATTGTGTTCAGTCTAGTCGCCGTTTTGTATGTACTCTAGTCTGCGTATTGTGTCTAGTCTAGTCGTCATATTGTGTTCAGTCTTGTCGCTGTACTGTGTCTAGTCTAGTCGCCATATTGTGTTCAGTCTAGTCGGCGTATTGTGTCTAGTCTAGTCGCCGTATTGTGTTCAGTCTAGTCGCCGTATTGTGTTCAGTCTATTCACCGTATCGTGTCTAGTCAAGTCGCCGTTTTGTGTCTAGTCTAGTCAGTTTGTGAAAGGGACACCGGGATCCAAGTGCGTTCCAGAGCGTTCTAGGGTACAGAATACACTTGACCATGTATTGAAGCGACATAAAATCACACTCATTGTAACAAATATTTATCAATCGTCAGTAATAAAGGCGGCTTCTGAAAGATTTGAAATACAGGGATGGATATGTTTAGTTTTCATGTTTTGACAATCGTCTAATCTTCCTGTGGTAACAGTACAAAAGAAGTGAACATTAAGTGATTTCTGATCGTCCTACGTGTTGTGATGAACTTGTCTGTTTACGACTGTTTAAACGCGGTTTAATCATTGGATTTGCCTAGAGAATGCAAAATAAAATTTCGTCAGCATCCGTGTCTAAAACATACGTGACAAATTCAAATAAATATCAAGAGAAAGATGTAACGCATCCGTCTCGACCATTTGGAATGTGATGTGCAATTGAGGGGAGGTAACTCCTACCCTTGTCGGTAGAGCGCGAGACTGTTCTCCAGTGAAGTAACATCTCTCTGCGTATTGTAAAAATTATTTTTTCAGCACTTGGAAGGAACACGTTACGAATCAATTCCAGCAGTTTAAATACAGCATAAATACAAACATGACAAAATGTTTCTTCAAGGAAACTGTCTCACTAGGTTTTCAGAAAATTTGAGATAAACCTTTTGATCGCCTTGAAGAATGTTTACGTGGCATGCAATTGAGGGGAGGTAACTCGAGCAGTCTGATGTCAGCAGCGGGTTCGTTATTCGTTATTTGTTTTTCGAATAACGTGATAGCAGTGGGTTCGTTGAGCCCATCAGTTCTATCAAATATAAAATATAGCTATCCAGCACCAAGTTTGTTGTTCAGACATGGAATAATAAGTATTAGGTGCCTGACTCCCAACAGATTCGTGTCTCGTTATTTATATGTCGAGTAACGATTAACGTGCTAGCAGTGGGTTCGTTATTCAACGGCTATACATGAAACCTACAGTGGTGAGGTCACATACACTGATACCCATGTAATGAGTGAGTTTGGTTTTACGCCGCTTTAGCAATATTCCAGCAATATCACGGCGGGGGACACAAGAAATGGGCTTCACACATTGTACCCACGTGGGGAATCGAACCCGGGTCTTCGGCGTCACGAGCGAACGCTTTAACCACTAGGCTACCCCACCGCCCACCCATGTAATGAAATACAGCAGGTTCATTTTACAGGTGTGCCACTGTGCAAGAGCTGTTTAGTCGGAGGACGAGGTGATGGACTGAGTGGTCAGTTGGATGAACTGAAATTGTAGTGCAATAACCAGTTGTTGGACTCGGGCTTGAGAACTGTAGACTGATATTCCATCAAGTACTGATTAACTAATTAACTTTAGCTAACTGGTGGTAGTACCAAGTACTAAGAAGGAAGTATTAAGTTTGAATGTACAGTTATGTAAACAAGAGCGTATGTGTGTGTGTGTGTGTGTGTGTGCGCGCGCGCGTGTGTGCGGTGTGATTGTTGTGACATGTATGAGGGTTATATGAACAGTGGGTTGTAAACAAATTGGCCCTGTAATCGTCGTTCTGTTGTTGTTCTGGGTTGTGACAGATAGACATTCTCCGCCTTGTTGAGGCCTACCAGCATGTGAACGATGCACATAAACCTAGACGTGTGATCAGGAACAATTTTGGATTCGAACACATAACCACAAGTTTTCTCGCACCGTTTTTCGCTAAAACACACAGCTTCTTATTAGGCTGGGCCACCCGCGCTCCGGGGTTGAATTCAAATTTGGTATTCAGAATACAAATGAAATATGAAATAAAACAAAATAACACATGGTCGTAGGATAAGAGTATGTTCAACGAAAACAACGAGAGATAATACAATGTGTGTACTTCCAACCATTGCTATGAAGTTCCACATTGAATGATGTTCAAAATGTTTCTTAAAGAGAATGTAACAACATTGCGGATGGTGTAGATTAACACGTGATGTGCGGGGTTGGCATGTCTCACTGCCAGGACACACAGGACTAAACACAGGATAGTTCAAGTTCCATCTCTTCTTGTTCTAGAGGAGAGTCAGCTCAGAGAATCTATGCTTGTCGTAAGAGCTGACACCATGGCAACTTGGGTGATTGAAAGTCATCGTATCCTGTCGAAATGAAACGTTGCTCATGATATCAATCACCGGTTCTCCTGATCCAGATACCATTATTACAGACGTAAGATGTTGTGAGGGTAACTGTGGTTGGTTGATCTCTTTGTCATTTTACAACACGATTCCCACTTATACAAACCTGGCGGAAACGGAGGAGGCTGAATGCTTTTAGCAATATCCCAGCAATATCACGGCGGGGGACACCAGAAATAGGCTTCACACATTGTGCCCATGTGGGGAATCGAACCCGAGCCTTCGGCGTGACGAGCGAACGCCTGTAAAGTCATGATATTTGATGATCTTCGAGTCTCCACGCATCTCAACTACCTACCTCTTAACAGTTGCACGGAAACGGGTATCAAGTTTAAATCTGTATAAGTTTTCTGAAGTCATGATCTCATGGATGATGGTGCTCACCCTTGCAGTTGCAAATACTACGTCTTGATGACAGCACGGTATCCAGGGTTATCGATTTTCATCAATTGATGACTACATATACATGATGACCGATTCAACTGGAGGACGTAAGCATGAGGATTACTGTAATGAATACATTCAACTGAATGAGTGAGTTTAGTTTTACGCCGCTATTAGCAACAGTCCATCAATGGCACGGTAGGGGACACCATAAATGGGCTTCACATATTGTACCCACGTAGGGAATCGAACCCGGGGTTTTTCGGCGTGACGAGCGAACGCTTTAACCACTCTGCTACCGCCTCTCTAATACATACAAACTGGTGAGGGAGTACCCTAATAACTCTTCTAGTAAGGCCCAGAACTTTTAGCCTACCCTTGTAGTTTGGCTATTCCTGAGTGCTGAACCATACATAGACTGTCATTCACAAACACATAACAGGTAACAAGTAATATTGTGATTCAGATCCAATGTTCAACAATAGAAGGTAAAATAGCCATATACATACATGTATACAGAGGTCGGTAATCTTAACTAATAGAAAACATCCAGTCGGAGACAGAATTGATGTCCATAGCTATCTGAGATGACGCATTTGCTGAGCTCTGTTCGTTCACGTGGTCATAGAATTCCGGGAGCAATTGTTGTATCATACTAGAAAACCGGACTCGGCTGCGATAGCGATGACCCCTTCCTCCAATATATCTCGGTTTTCTGGTTAGTTTGTACTTGACCTTAGGATTTCGTCCATAGTGTATTCGACCGAGACTGATAAATTTGATTGAGGGTCTGTTATTTATAAAGTTTATAAGAATATCATCTGTATGCAAACGAGTACACCCAAGATGTCTTTGATTAAATACAATGAGTGCTTTTGCAACCTCCCTCAGCAAGTTTACTCTCTGGACTTCATTGAAAGAGCTTCGGTCGTGGACAACGTTCGACAGCGTAACGCTGTCACTTACACCCTTCTGCACCAGCGCCATGTCAGCCAGCAGAGGTCCCATAAATACAACGCCCTTGAACAAAGGGACATAACTCGTGTCATTCAGATATAAGCTCACTCTCGCACAATGACGAATGTATCTAAAGCTTACCCTCTTAAACGTTCGAATCACCACTGTCTCCTTTGCAGGATTATACTTTGCTATATGCCAGCCTTGGAATATCATAGGTCTTTTATATATTGTAAAGTCCTTCAGTAACAGGATGGGTAATGATAGATGATGAAAAGCGCGGTGTTTCCCACTGCAAGGTTGATGGGCATGTGACTCTCTTTGCTTTGAGATATCGGGAGATAAAGGGCAGGATTTCTGTAGAAGAGCGAGGAGAGCCTCCTCAAGGGCCCGCACGGATATTCTGGAGTCCGGATCCTTTTTCATGCACTCAGCCGCCAGGTGAATCAGCTTGTCTATTTTAGCCAGACGCCCGATAGTTTGGAGGTTTTGCCCAGCGCTATATATATCACTTGCCGGAGTCGACTGGTCGTAAGACACTTCCGGTGGGAGGTAAACATGGCGTGATTTGTTGTCATATGGGTTGAAGTTCTTAACAGCCCTGCCATGGCGGAATGTAGAGTCCCCGAAGTCAATGAAATAAACCTTTGGGTCCGACCTTCTCCATTGGATGAGGATGTTTTTGTGGTGAAGATCATTATGGAGAACATACTTCTCGTTTATGTGTCTCAGCGCACCTGCTATTTGATAGGAAATGTTTAACCACTGGCAGCCACTGACTTTATGGGAGTTGTTGAACCACACGCCAATTGTGGAACTATTTTTTATATACTCTGACACTATTGACAAGTTATTCATACTCGGTCCAGTTGGCAGAAGACCAACTACGTCTGGGACGGAAGGTACGTCATCTAGATACGTCAGAATCCGTGCCTCGTGGAAGATTTGATGAAAGTTCTTGTTCATCAATGTCTTGACAATGATGGGTGTTCTAGAATCCTTAATCTCGGCTCTGTACACGACGCCCTCGTGGCCGCTCCCCACCTTCACAAAGGCCTTATTGCTGTCTACGTGGTGGACGACGGAGTCTTCGTGGAGAAGGCGGGGAACATAGCCAGACAGATCCCGCGGGACAGCATCAGGTTGAAACCCAAACTTCTGGAAGATGTTCACGTCGCCCCGATTGGGGCAGATTGTGTTATTTCGATGGAGATAGAACGATGTACTTGTGCAAATGTCTTGACCTGAATGAAAAAAATACATAATATCAAGATATGTACTGTGAACATTTTTTAAAGAGTGTTCAATATGTCTCCATAAAGAAAGGTTGATTCGATAAGATTTCTTTTGTCATTTTCGACATATGTATATAAACGTGTACTTATACTGACCAATCGCAGGGTAGATCCACAGCAGCAGAGAAGCCCATGCTACCAAGTATCTGTAGTATTCCATAGCTTACCTGAAACAGATGCAGAAGCTTAGAAGCCCGTCAGCGATTACTACTTGTTTAAACCTTTCTTGTAGTCTGTCTCACAGTCACTGAACTACATTATTGTCTCTCCATGCAATGCTAAAGTCCTAAGTGAAGCAAGTCTAGATTTCACCAGGTTCAGACTCTGAATCTCCTAACTCACTGGGGCTCCTTTTAAATTTAAATGGGTCTATTTGTTACTATCAAAACTATATACAGTGTATATTATAGGGACTAAGCGTTAGTCTAGCATGTTCGGCGCTGTGTCTAGTAAGTTTCAACAAATAAGCCCAAAAGGTACAAGGTCATAAAAGTGGCGAGGCAGCACAATGCTGCGTGATCATACCTCGCCTTCCATACAATGAAATATACACGGTACGTATACACAACATGGCAGGTACAAACAGGGCGTAACTGTTGTTATTGAATTCTAACGCTCATATTGAAACGTGTCGCTGATTAGAATATGACTGCACTCCATGGGTTTAGGGGCATCACAGCATAACCCTAAGCCTGGGTTTCACAGAGTTTTTAGAAATATTGCAGCAATATCACGGCGATGGACACCAGAAATGGGCTTCGCACATTGTACCCATGTGGGGAATCGAACCCTGTTGCCTGGTACAACGTTAGGTAACACAAACTTGCATGAATAAAGAGGTATTATCGGTAAGACATTCATTTAGTTTATTTTAAAATACTGTACATGTAATAACGTTACACATGTCCTTGAATTGTTTTATGTCATTTTGTTGATGCAGGTAGAAAGGATACGTGTCCAGCTATCGGGTACCCCCGTGAAGAGTAGGTTGAGATTAACATTAGATAAAATTAGATCTGGGAAATCTGTATTAATACTTCATTACCTGATGTCAGTGGTAAGTAATGAAACAAATGACAGTTCATCCTTGTAAAGGAAACAGTGTTAGATTAGTGACATGTAGCTACATATGTGTTTACATCCGGGTCTCCGCCGTAGGACTATAACTCGACTGACAGGTATGTGCTTTTGTTGACACAGGTATTCACCACCAGGAATATCAGACACAAATGACTTACTTGTGAATAGGATTTTACTTGAAAAAAAGACGTTACTTGTTACAGGTATAACCTTGACCTATACCTTCAGATACTGGCACAAAGACACATAACAGCAAGTCAGTTGGTGATTCGGTGACGCTACAGGTATAATAGATACAACAACATACAGGTACAGGTGGACTCGAATACATCTAATATACGGGGAGATATATACACATGGCGGTAGATACAATTTCAGGTAGATATAGGTAGAGGTAGATACAGGTACGACGATATAAGGTACAGGTAGAGGTAAATCGAAGGCATGTGTACATACATACATATATACGTACGTACATACGTACATACATACATACATCCATACATGCACACTGCTGCCCGCCCGCACCCGCCCGCACCCACCCCTACCACCCCCCCACACATCCATCCATCCATACACACACACACACACACACACACACACACACACACACACACCTACCTACACACCTACCTACCTACCTACCTACCTACCTACATACCTACATACCTACATACATACATACATACATACATACATACATACACATACACATACATACCTACCTACCTACCTACCTACCTACATACATACACACATACATACATCCATACACATACATACATACATACATACATACATACATACATACATACATACATACATACATACATACATACATACATACACATACACACACACACACACACACACACACATACACACACATACATACATACATACATACATACAGACAGACAGACAGACAGACAGACATACACTTACATGTATATACAATACATACAAATACCTGCAGATTTTCACATATTCAACACGATTGCAATATAGCGTCTAACTAGAAGGATTTGAAGAATGTACAATGTAATATTTTGTAATAATGTTATATTTGAGGTTGATATGAGTGTACGAAACACACTGATAGTTCGATTACATGTAAGCTGTGGAACATATTTGTTTCCTTATTGAAGACAGAAATAACTAACAAGCCTAATATTATACTCATGGTCCACAACACTAAGTCTACAAGATATACTTGATCGATCTTTGGATCATATTAACCCACCCCGCACAAGCAATACTTGAATATTTTTGTATTGTAACAGATATTAGGTATGCTTTATGTAAAGATTCGTGGCTGAAGAGCAAATGCGTGTTAGCATATATGCTAATTTCTTAGTATTTTTTTCCGTTCAGGCTTTCTCAAAGCAATCTTCGGCTCTTTTTATGTAAAGTTTTAGCTATTTACGACACCCTAATCCTTTCGTAGCCAAAGTCTCAACTATAAAAGGGTAATATTCATATTTGTCCGGTATTGGTTATTGTTGTTGAACTGCATGGTTGGCATTTTTGATTGAGATAGAAGTGTAGCATTTTCCCTGCGCCATAACATGTTAAAACACACACACACGCGCACATATACATAGCACATTTTTATGGCTAAGTAAATATTGTTACAGAAACAGGAACTCGACCGTACCTGTAATCTTGTGCAGTCTGAGTGAAGCATATGTTCCCTGCACGTCGCACGCATGCCGAGACTGGAGCCCAGTCTCTGTTTAACTGTATGGTACATGCGTGTCTGCTTGAACGGAAGAAAAGAGCCATAACTAAGTATTAATAATTCATTGCTTGTAAATTTGATTTTATAATTGTCTTATATAATGAACTGTACTGAAACCCTGTCTAGAAACCACGTGACAGTTTGTACAATGTGGCAGGTACGACGACGTCAACTTCCAAAAATACAGAGCAAACACATGAATCAGTGTCAAATACGTGACGTGAACGACCTATCATCAACACCTACAGAGCCGGCAGCAGGCCTCAGTGCTGTACACCTGCAGCAGTTACAGCTGCCACCCGCCATTAGCACCACAACGCCGTGCACAAAACCTCGCTATACAATGACAACAATGAGGAGATTAAGGTCAACCTGCAACTGTGATCGGTACATATAGGTTTTCTTTTGTAAATCTTCCTTCTCAGATTATGTCTACCTCTACCTTTAACTAGGTTTACCTGCATCTACCTCCACCTAATTTAGTCGTACCTGGATCTACCTCTACTTGAAAGTAGTTTTAACTGTATCTACCTCTACCTTTTATCTAGTTTTACCTGTATAAACCTCTACCTGGATCTACCTCTACCTAATTTAGTCGTATCTGTATCTACCTCTACCTGAAAGTAGTTTTAACTGTATCTACCTCTACCTGGAAGTAGTTTTAACTGTATCTACCTCTACCTTTTATCTAGTTTTACCTGTATAAACCTCTACCTGGATCTACCTCTACCTGGAAGTAGTTTTAACTGTATCTACCTCTACCTTTTATCTAGTTTTACCTGTATAAACCTCTACCTGTATCTACCTCTACCTGGAAGTAGTTTTAACTGTATCTACCTCTACCTTTCATCTAGTTTTACCTGTATAAACCTCTACATGGATCTACATCTACCTGGAAGTAGTTTTAACTGTATCTACCTCTACCTTTTATCTAGTTTTACCTGTATAAACCTCTACCTGTATCTACCTCTACCTGGAAGTAGTTTTAACTGTATCTACCTCTACCTTTCATCTAGTTTTACCCGTATAAACCTCTACCTGGATCTACCTCTACCTGGAAGTAGTTTTAACTGTATCTACCTCTACCATTTATCTAGTTTTACCTGTATAAAACTCTTCCTGGATCTTTCTCTACCTTTTTAGCTGTACCTTTTATCTAGGTTTATCTGTAGAAACCCCTACCTGTATCCTTCTCTACCTTTTTAGCTGTACCTGTATCTACCTCTACCTTTATCTACTATCCATATTAACGTCTACCTCTATCTACATAAGATTAACTTCACTGACATGTTCGGACAGGCGAACTTACATGTCTCACTCTCTAACATAATGCATAAATAAAACATCTCCTTATAATATGCTGGGATTTACATAGTCCCATTAAGAAGACCCCTAACATAGGATTACACGTCGTTGTGTTTCTTGTAGATTGTACCACAGTAACACAGTTTAATTGGGCTTTGTCTTAACGAGGTCTCCGCGCATAGCCTGTTTCTCTGTATCCTAATACTGGAAATATGAGAAGGTACAATTGAGAAAACGGTAATGTATGAATACAAAACCTCTTCATCAATATATAAAGTTAGCGAAATAAATAAACTTAGACATCGTTAATGATGAAATATTATTTTTGTATGCTGCTGCATTCCAGGTAAACACTGATGATTTAGAACTAAAGCTAGAAAGTCATTGCCTACCTGTCTGCAGATGTGGCAGTGTTCCAAGTTGAACTGCCGGAGAGTTCCATGTGGCACCAGTTATAAACATATGTGCCATGCAACATTGTAATGGACTGCAAATTGAGGCCTATATCGACCGAAGCTAAGTGGACTGATCAATGGCGAGCTAATAGAATGTATCTGATGTATGTTATTAAGTTCCTTTGATAAAGTCTGCCATTTCACAATGACAACTATGTATTAATGTTGTACAGTCTGTCGTACGTAAAGTGTTCACGGACGGCGCTTTGAGTGTCAGCTTTATGACGATTAAAATCAATAAAAGCATCAAGTCGACTCTGGGAGAGAATGATTCTGTAACACAATGTGCTGTCGATACTAGTAATAAGCTAACTTACAATGAATAAGAATAATAGCTGACATCTGCGAAACTTCAGGCGGCCGTTGCCCAGGTGGTCTATGTAAGCGTAATGCATAGTTACGTCCCTTAGTTGTTGCATGATCTGCTGATCGTAGGATCGAGTAGCACAGTGGTGAGTGAGTGAGTATGGTCTTACGTCGCTTTTAACAATATTCCAGCAATATCACGGCGGGGGACACCAGAAATGGGCTTCACACATTGTACCCATGTGGGGAATCAAACCCGGTTCTTGGGCGTGACGAGCGGATGCTTTAACCACTCGGCTACCCCGTCGCCCCTTCTTTAATAGAAAGTATGAGTCGAAATAGATTTTGTTGCTGAAAGCCGTCTCGCAACAAGGTATTTGGTGCAGCTGACAATATATTTTTCCTATCAGAATTCTGTCGGCCCCCCAACAAAAGTGACATTGTGTCATAGTTACATAGTACCAATCAAACATGATCCAATATCAATAGCCGTTGATATCTTTGTATGTGTACCAGTGGTTATGCTTGAAGTGTTATTTCTTCCGAGAGGCAGGAGTGGTCCAGTCGCCTGAAGCGTAGCAAATTGTATTGGAGAGTTGCCTCCCTTACCCGTACCAGAAACCTATTAACTGTTCTAAGCGGCTGTTCACACACACACACACACACACACACACACACACACACACACACACACACACACACGCACGCGCGCTACGCTCACACACACACACACACACACGCGCGCGCAAACACACACACACACACAAAATAACAAAAATATATAAAATGTCCAAATAGGTGACAGCTCCATTTTGTTACAACTGCAGTAAATTTGGAAATATCCTCCACTCTACTATTACTATCACGGAAAGCTGCTTAGTGAGGTATGCTGTGACCCAGGTCAAACACTCTTCACAATGCTCTTTGTAATCTTCGAGGAAAGGGCACGATCAATTGTACCTTAAACATTATGAAAAGCTGACACCCAAAGCTGATAAACATTTTTGTCTAGCTTATTATTGGAAAGTTGAAGTCATGTCTCTAATCACAGGTCTTGTGGAATGTGTTTCCCGCTGTGAATATATACTACAAACAAAAAGTATGGGAACACCCTAAAATTTGATAGTCATAAATAAACTTAGACGTGGTGAGGTCAATTATACTCTAAGGTAAAAATGCAACTTTTTGTGTGCTTAATGGGCACTTTAAACGACATGGAATATGCCGTCTGGAAACTGATTCAGTATTCGTTGAGTTTGAGTGAAATGAAACATTGTCAAAAAGAGCGAAAAACGAGGGTGCTGAAACTCACCAGCACCATGTTTGATTCAAAAGTTGCCATAAGCTGCATGGAAAGTCTGTCTTCCACACGCACTAGGTTGTTGTGATTGGGCGTTTGAATCAAACATAGTGCTGGTGTGTTTCAGCACCCTCGTTTTTCGTGTTTTAGATACGGATGAGGCGGTTTCATTGTTTTTAACTATACTACCCATCAAAGTTTAGACTCACTTAAAGCACTCACTATATGTTATGTATATGTATGTGGTTACATCGAAGATGAATTTCTCCACCAACTTGGGGAACCAACTGAAAACCTGAATTTATGCAGATGAATTGCACAAGGATGATGCTTCAAATTGCGAAGGCATGAGCAAATGTCGTGCATGTGAACAGATGCGTTTTGGTGTAAAGTTTTGTTAAGAATTCGCCAATTTTCACAGATTTTAATCATTTACTGAACTCATGACAATAATCTTTTCAATGTTACGAATATGTTTTACAATACACCAGTTCATAACTAAACAGTACCTTTAAACAGTATGGAATATTTTGCAAAAGCTAGTTTAGAACAGTGGACAAGTAAGTGGCTACATTTACACTAGTGAGTCTAAACTTTTGATGGGTAGTATACATAGTAATGTGATAAGGAACACATAACTCATAACCCCCATGCTTGACTGGAAAGAAGATTGGGCATATAATCATCTAAATAGTTTTGATATTTTGTAATGTAAACATGATGCACCACGGAGGCGCACGCTCAAAGAGCTACAATTTGATTTTTATTGTTTTATTACCCCGGATAACCCAAGTTATGCAAAACAATCACATTATGAAGAGTCGCTTGTCATTTAGCTTTTAAGTCTGAAAGACCGCGTGGTCAGGCACGCTGACTTGGTTGCCACATGTCATCGGTTCCCAATTGCGAAGATCGATGCTCATGCTGTTGATCACTGGATTGTCTGGTCCAGACTCGATTATTTACAGACCGCCGCCATATAACTGGAATATTGCTAAGTTGCGGTGTAAAACTAAACCCACTTACTCAGTCACTGAAAGACCGCATGTCACCACACTGGTCAGTTGGGTTTTATATACATTCAAAAAATTGATTTAAACGAAATTAAATTTAGTTAGTGTTATAATTTTATTTTCAGATTACCTAAAAACCTGATGATGACGGTTTCGTTTGCTTTTTGGTATACATAATGATAAAAATAGTTAATAAGATGCAATAATCATAAGAAGAATGAAAACTGACAATCGCCATTGGTATCATATGGTGCAGCTTTTATGTCTAACCCTCGTTCGTTTTCACATAAACAACAGGCACGTGTGTCTGGTGCATTATCGCCTTGACGCGGAAGGCGGTGCGATCAATGAACGCATGATTGTTGTGCCCAGGGCGGACAACATGCCGATATAATCGATACTTGGTAACACACACACTCCATGATGAAATATGACTATTATTTGTGGGGGAGGATTGCACATAAACTTGCTTTAGATATAAAGTTATGCCGAACTGGACACAATAATAATTCTTCTTTTTTTTTGTGCTCATATTCGTAGGCCACTCTGAACGGAAATAGATTTGGTTCGGCGTTGAACAAGCTGTGCTAGCGGTAAATAGAGTGAGTGAGTGAGGTAAAATGTCAACCAAACGCCAATAGTTTTAGAAAAAATATCATTATACATTAAACATGAATGTGATATTGGTGTTATACGTTTGTTACTGTTATTAGATCATGCAGTCATAGCTGACGTTGTATATATAGATTACATACACCTTCATGTTACTGGTTCACTGTGTGCTAATAAGGAACATCGGCTACAATTGCTACAGTAGTGCTTCCATAACACGACGAGGAAACATACCTAAATTAAACACCACTCAACATATCAACAATCAACGTGTTTGTAAATCCGATATAACTCTCCGGTTTAAAGAGGTTTCAGTGTATTCAGATACGAACACGTGTGTTGAAGATGAGCAGATGGATGTTCTGCACACCTTGTCGGTCTAAACCATCTGTTTACCTTTGATATCCTGATATAAGCCTGGCAGGTGACACTGCTGTCATAGTAACGTAATGTCACTTGACCTGGGTACTAGGCAACAGATGAAACGCGGAGCAGCCCTGCAGCCCAGTCTAACAAAAAGACACATTTCATGCACCTACCTTGCATTTACACATTTTCACACGTTGTCCATAACTGTCCCTGTATGAATACCGAGCGCACCGTTACATGTCTTCCTGGTAGTAATACACATATTGTGTGACGTGTCACGGTCCAGTGACGATACACGCCAGTCGGGGCGCGAGAACATGCAGGCTTATTTACACGCAATCGACATCCGACATCGATAAACTAGTATGAATTTCATCCGACAGACTGAGCTGCCCTTTGTAAATCAGAACGTGTTTTTAAGCTACGATATCATTAGGGTTACGCGTGTTCAGAAGGAACACTAATGAAAGAATGCTATTGTAAACACCGCGCCAGCCTTGCGTTGATCAATACTTCATACAATAATTGTACAACGCTTATAAATGCTTGACATTTTAAGTTGTGGCTAGTACGATTGAATGCGCCAGATAGGGTTTCAATTTCGTTTGTTTCTTGGCATAAATTACGAATACACAACTATAAAAAAAATGTCATTGAGTAACGTTCATTGACGTTATACACATTTTGATTTGTCATTTCGTGCAATGGTTAAAGAGATAATAAAATGAACGTAAAGTGGATGTATAGTAATATTCATCAGTGTCAGGGGGGTCATTTATAGACATCTGTTTCTCACAGAGAGATTGATAGCAAATATCACAATACCGTCAGCTAATTCACGGAAAACCCATACAATGTCTATATGTTCCTTTGTTCAAATAGTGTCGAGCCAACATACGTATCAATTTATGACCTGACCCAACTGTGTTCAGGTGCAACGACAGCATATCATTTCCATAAACAAGTAATAAAAATAGAAGAGATATGGAAACTAATCGATGTATTTCTCCATGGTGACTCAGCACGCCTGCAGTTCCCAGTGGGAGGACATGAGGTGTTTATAGCTTCACCGGAAGACACTATGACACTGACACTTCCGCGTTCAGGACATCTCACACAATATATGTGTTCTGAGTATTCTGTTACAAACGTTTCAGTTTGACCTGTTCTATTGAATATAACGTAATATTGCCAGATCCAAATTACCCAACTGGAGACGATGTTTGAGAAAGCTTTTTAATGATAATTAGTCAGGTATATCAACGGGACACTCAGGAGTGCAGGTACCCCAGCAACCTGTCAGTTTATAACATGTGTTATTTTGCTGTTTTGACTTTCACGCCCAATTGAATGTTTCGATGCATAATGGTTGTTTTCTGCTGTGACGATAATGTTACTTGAAATGGTTCGATGTTTTTGTTGATTGAAGAGTCCGAGCTTCACCATATGTTCAATAGCATGTATTAGTCATACGAGGTGTATTATCAAATATCCATGACTGTATAACACCGAGTTACTGTGACTGTAAGACATGGAATATTAATGACTGTATGACACTGCTATAAGGGATTACTTGGTCATGAGGTTAACCAGACTCACGGCGT